CTGGAGTTCAGACGTGTGCTCTTCCGATCTAAATTTATTTTTTATCAAAAATTGTTAAAAATTGTTTAATTAAAATGTAAATTGGTATAAATGTTATTGGAAAATGCATGGGATTCAATACGCAGCGCGCGCCTGTTATGTACTAGTAATATAAAAATAGAATCGATAATAATGCATTACCTTTAGAAGTTACTGAATAATGTGACAGTCGTTGTGCCCAAATATGCAATAGCTTATAACTCTCGAACGGCTGTGTCAATCGATTTTGCCCCAAGCGCGAATATTCATATCCCAAAGTTGAGATTGTACAATGCCGAATATAATCGGCTTGAAATCTGTAAATTTAGATCTTTACATCTTACACATTATTTATATTAACTATCGAAAAATAGATTAATTTTCTTACGATACGGAAACTGTAGAAAGCCAACTGCATGCCTCTTGTTCAGATAACATAAAGAGAGCCGATAGTCCACATTGCAAATCGAACGATCGACCAGTGCACAACTTTTTCAATAAATTTATCAAAAGCTCTGATAATATAAATTTCATTTCTGTTAATATCTCTTCGTTTCTTACAGACGTGCCATAGTACATGAAATAAAATGTTTTGAAAATTTGTAGTAAAGAATAATCGTTGTGCTGAGGTTGTATCTTTCTTGTATTTTCCAGAAAATTAATCAATAATTTGTCCATTTGTTCCTACGTATAATAAAACCGCACTGATATATCACAAAGTACTTTTATAAATGATATTATACAATTTGCAATACATACGTCGCAATTTGTGATTTTATTAGTGTTGATTTGATTTGAATAATATAAGTGCAGAGACATTGCATCTTTAAACAGAAACAACAACTTTTCATTCAAAGATATTGCTTGATCCTTATAAATTGTATATAGTTTCCAATTAGATGGTGGTCTCTGTTCTACATCAAAACAATCTTGAGTGGGAAAACTTGGACATGTATTGATACAAGTGTAAAGCATTAGTGCTGACTGTAAATCACCTGAAATATTAATTCGCGATATAATTTTTGCCATTTTAAGTTATCATATAATTTTGATGCGTACCGTCTTGACAAGTATTTAATGTCAAAATGCTCAAGTTTTTGACAACTTTTACAGCATTGGTGTCTACAGCAGCATGTTGTAATATTGATGAACATATCTTATGTATATTCTTAAATTTTTCAGACACCATATTTAAATCATCTTTATCATCACTATGAGAATACGGAAGAGATAAATATTCTTGTAGATGTGTATAAAGTTATAAGAGTAAAATATGTAAAACACTTACTCAACAAATTGTTCTAGTCCGTTTAAGTTTTTCATTTGTTCTAACATAGATAAAATTGCATACGACTTTTCTAATCCTAGCAATTCGGCAACTTTAATAACCATCCTCTGCATTATTGACCAATCATCCTCCTTCATATCTATAAAATTATCATAAATAAGTTCTGTAAGCAAATTCTCAACAAGCGTGTATATATTGCATTTAATTATAAACATTAAATTAAAAATTTTACTTGGAAGTAATTTCGAGATATAGTTTTGCAACACAAGTGACTTCTGCAAATGATAATCTTTCAAAGAAATATCAATCTCATAATATTTTTTCAGTGCGTACAATGACTTTAAATCTTTTATCATTTTGATACTGTTGTTGCAACGATAGGGGCAAACATTTGATTGCGATAACAAGTTATATATTTTAAGCTCTAAGCAACCCAATATTTCCATGTAGTAAATCAAGGATGTCGTTGCATTCTAAAAGCAAATATTAAATATAGTTAATTATAATTTATAGAAATAATTTCTAGTGAATTAATATTGTATCAAAAGTAATCACTTGAAAAGAAAAAGCTGCAACAATATAATTAATAATTCCTTCATAACAATATAAAGCGCTGGCAGCATCATTTTCCAAATAATGTATTATATCCATTGCTCTCTCAAGATTTCTAAAACAGATATTTGCAGTAGATAAATAGATGCTTTATATTTGTACGACTTTTCCCATCATGCAAACTTCCGAATAATACATTTTTCACAACGTACTTTTCCTTCAATCGGGCATTTATGCACCGACAAAATGCATCTTGCCTTAATTGCTGATCGTTTTTCGTTAACACATCTATATCATTAATCATGGAATCGCAATTTTCTTTTATTATACGTGATATCAATTTCTAAAATATAAATAATTTATTAATGTGTAACAACGTATAGAGATATCGATAGATGATAAGATACAACTTATACCAACATTATTTACGCCAATTGTCGCATATCCATATTTCTTTAAAATTAGTTTTATTGGAACGTAATCACATTCAATTTTAATTTTAAAAGATAAATTGTGATCATAATTAATGCTTGTTTCTGCTAGATTAGCTATAATTGAACTCCAAGGCACTGGCGCTTTTCTTAAAACTATTAAAGTTTGCTCCAGTCGTTTCTTGTATAACATGTAACACAAAACGTTGTGTTAAAAAAATGAAAAAGATATTTTACAAAAGTTATAATGTCGTAAATAATATGTCCCTGATATTTACTTCTATGTTGTGTATAAGATCTATTATAATAACAACTCTTTTCTCCCATGCAGCTTCTTCATTAAACCACCAACTATACGAATTTTCTATAGTTTTCTAAAAATATAAAAATGTTGCATTGTTATTTACATGATAATTATATTATTTCGAAAATTTAATATTTTAAGCAACGACGTGTTACGTCTTTAATTGTCTTTGTGAAAACTTTGAAACAAGAATATATTATACAAACCTGGATATATGTGCAAAAGACAGTATCGTTTTGCAAATTATTATTAAATATATATTGTTTTAGGAACGTATTTGCAAAATTTGATATTTGATCAATATGTATTTTATCCAACAACATATAAATCGCTTCTACAGGTGAATCAATGTATACGTCAAGAGGTACTCTCAATCTGTTACATAATTTAAAGGGTAAGTAATTTATAAAAGCTGAGTTGTAACCTAATTTAAAATTATACAATATTACTGACCTGTGAACAATTTTCAATTGTTGAATATCGGATAAAGCTTGAAACAGAATCATAAACTGTTTCAGTAGAGAGTTCTGATATCTGTACTCTTGATGAAAGTACACTGATTGATTATCTTCAAATTTGAGCAGTTTTATAAACTTTTTAGCAAACTCTGTACCGATTTCTGGCCACGTTGTACGATGAGATATCTCAAGATATTTTAATTTTTTTAAACTCCAAGATATAATCTCATTTATTGCATCAGGCAATAAGGATAACAACGTTGGTATAAAATGAATAAGCCACGGCCATAAACACGATGGATCCACATCTTCAGGTAAGATGGTAAAAATGTTCTGTACAGTCTGCATAGATATGTGTTTTACAAGATCAGGAAGATGTCTTGTCCAAATTAATGTAGCAGATTTTAGTTGACCCTACATAAATATTAAACATAATAAAGTACGATATTGACACGCAATTTTTGAAATTTTTTACACTGCGATATATATGTATATATTTATATAAATATAATCACACAATACCATGTTTAAGCGAGAAATACATTCTTCCAATAAATTTGCTTGTGAAAATCGTATCCATTCTTTCATACTTGCGTCATCGTTCAATAACCCATCTGCTTCGATATCTTGGATCATTTGGAAAGTCTCAAGTCTATATAGAGCGTCATTTATTACAGATAGACTGGTATTCAATGAATCATCTATATTTTTTATCTGTAAAGTATACAAATTGAATATAAATTAAATGTGGAAACATTGAATATATAGTGATTAAGAGTACTACTATAATAAGATACCTTAATATTTTCGACTATTTTTTGTCGAGCATACGAATATAACCGTCTCATTTGTATATAATCAGAAATGAGGGCTTTGCTACAACATTCAATCACATATTGCACATTTTGTATTTTATCCAAAATATTTATTAATGTATCTACGTTGACTGAATTAGAAGTAGATTTTGCCCAGGGACTGAGCTGTTCTACGAGTAATGTTGCTTTAGAACAATAAACGGATTCCATTGAGAGATTTAGTTTCTTTGCAAAAGCTTCTGCTGCATCAAACTGTCTCTTCCTTAATAGTCTCGCTAAACGTATTTCAGGAATACTTTCCAATATCGTTTTTATTCTAAATGTATCAATAGTACCAATCTCAGTAGTAATACCTTCTATGTAAAATAGATTATCAGAAGCGTGTAAAACATTTAATAAACAAGTATTGGTAGATACGTCGATTTCTAATTTCTGTTCAAAATCTAAAAGGAAACAAAGTATCTCATGTTTAATTTGTAAAAACCGATCTGTTTACGAATGAAAATAATATATTTACCAGGATAAGAAATAACACGTAATGTACATGTTGTATAATTGTTTTCAGAACGCGTTAAAAATAAAATTTCACAATGATCATCATTTTGTATTACGCTGAAATCAAATACTGGGCCATCGCATATTTTCAACGTAAGAAATGTATTCACGCATATCATATTTAATATATTATCTGTACGTAGACATAGCATCTTACTAAAAGAAAAAATCCCTTTTATATATTATGCAGTTTGCAATATAAGCTCAAAAGTATCAATTTATATTAACAAAATGTAAAAATTTATTCACCTATTGCCATGCAACGGCTTTATCTTTTTATATCCAAAAGAAAATACATCTTGGAAATTCATATAGTGTTCATTAGGCCAAGTAAATATCGAATTTGCTCCAACCATAGTTATCGATAGTTCTTCTGATGATGTGTCTACTGTAGCATTAAGAAACTGTAACATATTCTTTATGAACTGATGTAGAAAGCAAAAATCACGATATTTATATAACTTTGTTTTAAACGCAAATTATGTATTCACAAAATATTTTAATAAGTTCTTCTTCAAAAAATACACATTACCTCCGGAGAAGTAAATCCTTTGAACAATTGAGAGCACTGAATATCTGCTATATATTTCGCAACTGTAACTTTGTCATTACTGATAAATGCAATATCTAAAGCTTTAGGATAAAATTTCGAGAATCTAAAATATTTAAAAAAATAATAATTACACATATGAAACCAATTCAATGAAAAATAGTAAAATGTGGCAGAATATAACGTAAGTAAATGTAATACCTGTAAATAGCTCCAGTGTTTGTAACAAGAATTATTAATGTTTCCTCACTTTGCTCTTTTAAAAATATCTCTATTACTTCACCTTCATTATCAGGCATTGTTCTGTAATTCGGAAATTATTTATGCAGGCATCAGAATTATATTTTCAATACATTTACAATGTATAATATTAAATATTTACTTGGTGAAAATTATTTTTCCATCTGATAAATGCAAGCAGTATAAAATCCTGGTTGTGAGTATGACAATTAAAAAAACACCGTCCTTTGAAATGCAGTAGCCAGCTATCATGGAGGGAAAGCTAATATTACATAATATTTCATCGCACGTTTCATCTTTAAATATTGTAATAGACTTGTCAATTGCTACACAAATCTTGGAATATTGAATAGATGCTACAACATTTGGCTGTTGATCCACCTTGAAAAAAAAGACATATACTGATTTTTGAATGATGCGTCGCCATAATTTGTAATAGCTATAAGCACAATTATTATTTATACAGTAATTAAATAAATCTATAATAAATGTCAAATTTAAAATGCGCGCTTTTATAATACAAATCCAGCGCGTGCGTGTTTGACACGGATTTAAACATGAAAAAGCCACTAAAATATTGTAAACAAAACTATATTAATAAGTATTTTCTTAGTCTTTTTAGCAAAACATCTCAAATTTCCCGTTTTTTTCGTTTTTAACAAGGCAAAAATCAATGGAAAATTCAAGTTAAAGTATCGTGTAACTGTCATACGACTCGATCATACGAGACACGTTAGAAATTGATAGATTGATGTAACAGAAAGTACCTTTTCGAGCGATTGAATCGTTGCCACGGTGCATGCCTCGTACAGAGAACCGTTGTTTTCCGCGATTATCCGTGTCCCAAAATTAATAGTCTCATCATCAATGTCAAAGCCTGACTGCACTCTACTCCACGAAGCCATTTTCTTGGATTGTTTGGCCACTTTTGACCGCGAAAGATGGAAGTTCTTTTTACGAGTCAGTGCAACTTGCATTCCACAGATAGCGCCTCTATCTGCATTATTCGGATTTAATGATCGGCGATCGGTCATGTATCGATTTCAAATCGTAATATATTCAATCGAAAATTTTTTTATCGGAATTTCAAATTGCTCTTCTTGTTAATTATATTTTCCTGATACTCTATCAATTTTGAGATTCCTGATTTTCATGATTCGAAATCGCGCGCGACAAATTCTTGACAAATCGCAATTCTTAAAAATTTCGGAAAATTCTTGGAATTTTAAATAGTACAACCTCCTTATCAAATAATGTTTTATTGATTGACATTGTCGATCTTCGAGATTTCTTTCATTTTTACAATTTCGAGCTGTTTCGAATATTCTCGGAATCAATAAGAGCAGCTCTGGTAAAATCTATAACATCACATTGTATGTACCTACACTAGCTACGAAAACAAAGTCATCATGCTTCTCTCTGCCTTAGTGCATATGATGCTATATATGGCGTATGTGGCGCACGTGTCGTAATGTTTACATTTTGTCAAAGAGGTTATCTAGATGCACATTTGAACATCATCGAAACTGCTCAGAGAAAAACGAATCTCGATATATTTTATATTTTAATTAAACTGGTTTCGTCGCAATTATGGGCGATACCACTTTCCTTGAAGTCGACGACTCTATTAGGACTAAAAATTTATTATTACTTGTAAGTATATAGTAAATACGTCAATAATACGTATGCATCGTATTATTGATGTATATATATGAGTAATGACAAAAATGTTGAATAATTTCTAACAGGATGAAGATAAGGATACTTTAAATCCGATAGATAAGTTGATGAAAAAATTAGATTCGACACAAACAATGCCAACAACACCAACAATACTTGTTCAACCTACTCCTGGTCTGTAGAATATTTTGCGTGTTTTGCTTGTTATAGATAACAGCCTACTTTATATTGTTATAATTGTAGGTATCTGTGTGAAAACCAAAACAGTTAACGGAGAAAAGATTTTTGTGAACATATGCACATCCGATAAAATTCCACCGCCAGAAGATATATCTGATACTAAACTACTTCAACTTCTAAACGATGATGTACCTGATTATGCCATACCACTGAGTATTGGTTGTGAAAGAATGGAAACTGATAAATGTAATTTAATGAAAATTTTTTGACTCATTCATATTAAAGTAACAATTATGTACTGTACTGTCTGTGTTGCAGTTGTTAATTACGAAATATTGATTTTCTTTATAGCTGGTAAACCTAGTGCAACATATGATGTCATGATGAATACAGCTTACCTTAGAAAATGTCGAGAAAAGGATCATTTCATGGCATTTACAATAATAGTTATATTGAATGGAGTGGCGAATAAATTTGACAAAGAGATTGATATAGAAAATTATGTTATTCTTAAAAATCGTACAGTAGGTGTATATATGTATAAAAAAATAAAAGAAGCATTTTTATATATCATTATATATCGTTCAAACTTTTCAATGTAATGATATCTGTAATTGTAATGTATATCATTCTAGGTGATGGGAAAACTTCAGCAGCACAACATAGAAAATCGTAAAGTCAGAAAGCCACAAGCTCAAAAATCGTCATTGATCGAGGAAATTTTGCCTTCTAGGAAGCCTATCGACAGCAAGACTAATCTACGAGATAGCAGTACGACAAAAGCGGGTTATGTTATTTTAAGAGAACCAGCAAAAGGCCCAATTGAGCGTTTAATCGCTTTATTTGATATGCCAAAAAGCGTTAGTCAAACACAATTATTAAATGGATTAAATTTATTCTACAGACTCTCGTAATGATATTCAGTCAGATAAGATAAATGTATAATATAGATTATCACTTGCAGGTTTCAGTCGAAGATATAGTAGTATTGATCAACTCCGATCGCATAAATGTCACAGATGAGAAAGCTTGTTATTCATATGATGTTTTACTTCCGTATACACTCAGAGCAGATAATGCACAAGCTTTTCTGGATTACAATATTGGGGTGAGAATTTCTATACTTTTTTTTATATATTAGATTACATACCTATATTGTATATATTTTTTTTATTTTTTAGGTATTACGAATAGATATATTAACCAAATAAAAATAAAATGAATATTAAAAAATCTGCTTATTATGTTTCCCATCTTAGAAGAAATTTTGTTGTAGAATGTAATTTCACTGTATTAAACTAATGTAAGATATGAGTTTCATTTTGCTTCGCACTTCTAGATATGCATTTGATTTCTAATTTTTAAGAAATATAAGTTTCATATCGGAAATACAGGGTGTCCCAAAATTTGCGAATCAAAATATAGCAAGAAAATCTTTGAAAAATTAAATAAAAAAGTTATTTATAAATTTTATTTTAAACTGTAGTTTTTGAGTTATGTCGCGCACCTTACGTGCGTAATCTATAATTGGCCAAATTAAAACTTACATCTCAAAAACTACTGCTTAAAATAAAAATTTACAAATAACTTTTTTACTTAATTTTTCGAAGACTTTTGCCATATTTTGATTCGCGAATTTCGGGACACTCTGTATACACATTTATTTTAAGAATATGTCTGAAAAACTGAAAATAAATTATTTCTTTCTGGAATTATAAAAGCTTAATAAACAAACAAGATATAAAATATATTTCACAGAGTAATATAAATTGAACAACAAATTGTATGCTAAATTTCTCACATTTCCGTGTAAAATGCTGGTCGATCGACACCTATCATGCTAAAAACTTGGGGCAACAGATACACCGTATTTATACCTATCATGAAACAATATGTATATTTGTAGACTAGATCGACGAACACCTTATTTTGATTACCATTATAATCTTGACACTTCATAAGTTCCCTCCAATTAATTTGTAATATGCCACATATCGTAATATAAATTAAAAATTTGCACAAGACTTTTGTTGCGATAATGCCAGAAAAGCCAAGTGCAGTTCTAATAATTAGACGGCCAAGCATAGAATACGTTGGCCAAACGATATGAAGTGGCGATAAAGATTGCGATGCCCTTAATATACCTGTACAATAATTGAGCCATGCTCCTACGTGAATTCCTGCTGTGACTGATACGACCATGGCAGTGTCGCTTCTGAAATAAAATTAAGAATCATAGACGTACAAGGTTTGAAAATTGAATTGTGTACGTGTGTGTGATATTCAACAATTTAGCTTTAACTACCTAGTAGGTGTCCACTTGTAACTGGATGGATAGTATACAATAGTGGCAATACTGATTGCGATCAGCATTGCTACGAGCCAAAAATTCGTGACGACATAAGAATTTGTTAGATCCACCAAGGGTACCAGCGGAATCATTAACGCAATCGCTAATACTAAGCCGGCCAAAACATCTAGTACAGTATGCATACCTAGGTACAATCTGCTCATACTGACAAGTACACACCTAGAAAAATCTTGCGTGTGTTACCGAGTTCAATAATTTTACGTGCTTGTGTTTATACAAAGAGTATAAACACAAGCAAATATATATTGTAATACAGAGCAATTAATAATGAACCAGTTACAATATATATATCACTTACCAAAGAAATGCCATAATACAGCCGATAGAAAATGGATAAATATATTTATTCATTGTAAATAATACTACACTAAATGGCAAAGTTAAACCGACCATGGCATGAGTGGATGGCATTCCGTATTCCTGTGACCATTTATTTTGTAATCTAACTGCCGGAGGACACGCTGGTCTAGGCCAACATATTATATCTTTCAATATCTGCCCTGAAAATACAAATTTAAAGATAAGTCACACTAAAATTATGTGTCCACACATATTGTACTTATTTTTGATTATCAATTCATTATACCAATGGTCATAATAGTGGCCCATACTAAGACTACTCTTTGGCCAATAGCTCCATCGATATTCCAGAACAAGAAAGGTATAAAAGTTGAATAGAAGATCTCATCTCCTAATTCGGTTCCAAACACAAATGTGTAATACCAAAATGGATTAGTGATTGTATAATTTGGATTATTTGAAATTATCAAAGTTTCTTTGTGCTCGTTTGTTCGCTCATTGGTTCTCTGTTCCAAAGGATTCATTTGCTTTGTGCGTGTTTTCAATTGCTTGCTTGCATCACAGCCATTTATGCTTTTACTGTGGCAAGTTAAAACATAATTTTCTTCATTATCATCAAATTTTGTATAAACGTTTTTCTCCTCCTCTCGGAATGTTTTTTTATAGGAATTATAATATATTTTGACCCCAAAAAATTGTTGAATCGATGCGACTAATTGAGGGTCCTTTAAGTAATTTATCATTTTCGTTAATTTCCGTATCATTATCTTATTGGAATTAGTTGATTAAATTTTAAATTGTTTTTTCTTTTTAGAGAATTGTTAATATAGCTCTCCCATGGCCACGAACATCCCGCCGAATGATCTGCATAAATAATAATGTTAATGGCCTTAAGTATGATGTAATAACTTCACGCAACGTAATTCAAGTGATTAACTGATAAAAACAAGTTTTGTTCAATAAAAATGAGAATTAGTCACTTTCTCTCACCAATTGTAATCTTATAAAATTTTCACTGCGTTTATGCCGTAACACGGAGAATAAGGATAATAAAGTGACAATAAAAAATATCGCCGCCACTATTAAAAAAAAGCTATACAATTGCGCTATATAAAAGCGACATATTTTAAGGTTAAGTAAGATCTATTGTATCGACCGAATGTGCGATATCTGTGATACATAGAAGCATGCGCGGTAATTAACATTTTGATTGATATTAACTCTCATATATGATTCAACGAAATGTATTTATATAGTAATAACAGTGTTACAGAATATTCAACATCAGATGTAAGCATCGCTTATGTTTATAATAATATACCGGCACTTGAAATGACTAAATGAGATTTATAGGTTAGAGGTTAGATTACTCATAATGAAAAAAATTCTCACATCTCGGATCCTAAGAATTATATAATATTTAAGAATTTTTCATATTTTAGATTTATGAAGATTTCTGAAAAATGCCTTAAATTTAATTCCTCAAATTTTATAATTTTTCTAAAGGAAATTATAGAATAAAAAATATATATTATCGATCTTTGATGATTATAATTCTCGCGGTATAATTTGTGATTAAAAAATTGTACAATTATATATAGATGTAATCGCTCAATAATCGATTTTTACATTGTACTCTAAAATGCGATATAATAATTCCAATTGATGAAGAAACAAACACTCGCGGCAACTCACGGCCATTAATTATTTCCAAACTTACCAAAAAGTATCTGTCATCCAGTATATTCATGAATAATCAATCCTTATTTTGCAAGTAACCGTCGCGCGGCGGAAATTAATTTATGTAGCTACGATGTAAAAAAATCAGCTAAGTTGATCAGGGAATTGCTACGATTTTTTGCCTTCGAAATTATTGTATATATGTTGTTCATGTTTAATTAAGTCACAACAAGGACACTCGCAAAACTGCACTCACGTCGCTATGACTATTATATAAGAATTGAAAAAATAAAAGATCAACAACGCCGGAAAAAAAAACAGACCGGTTCAGTCGCTTTTATATTATATTACTGACAGCGCGATAAACATATAGCGATTGATAGGTTATCGTTATACCGCTAAAATTCGGGTTCGAGTCTCCGCTAAGTGGGGTTTTTGAGCCTGCTCCTACTGAGTAAAATATGAATTTAGCGGAGACTCAAACCCCACTGAGGTTCGAATCTTCGCTAAATGGGGTTCGAGTCTCCGCTAAGTGGGGTTTGAGTCTCCACTAAATTCATATGTATATGTGCTGTGTGGGTATATTTTATTGAGAAAAGCAGGCTCAATTAACCTCACTTAGCGGAGACTCGAACCAACTCGAACTTTACTTAGCGGAGACTCGAACCACATTTTAACGGAGATTTATTGAATTTATTCTCCCGCTGGCTTGGTTACCTGGGTATAAAAGTAACCTAACGCAGACAGACACTAGGTATAGGCCGCTATAGAGAGAGCAGAGAGAGTATAAAGCATAGGCAGGCGCCAGGGCCGCCAGGCAGAGGCAGAGGCCTGAGGCAGACGCGGAGGATACGTATCATTATACGTGTGCACGCACGCGACAGCACGCGACGGCGAATCGCGAATCTACCGGGGCGGGCGACGGGCGCGGACGAGGACTGGCGCGAGCCGCAAGATACGCTTCGTCATCGTCATGCACTGACGTTGGAAATAGTGGCGTGATGCGAAGGAATTTCGATCGATCGCGGCCGCACTTGGTACTCTTGGGCTTTTGGCAGTCAGTCAGTCAGTCAGTTAGTCAGTTACACGACGGCCGTGCGGGTCGTGCCGTACGTCGCACGACGCCATAGTCATTGGAGCACGGACATATCTCGATAACGCGGCACCGGGCACACATCACCGGCCTATTAAGTGCCAAGCGCCGCGAGTCCGTCGATCAGTGGACCCTCCTTGACTAATCGCTCAACGTACTTTGACCACCGTGAGACAATCCCTGACAATCCCGCGTGTCAAACGCGCTCGGTCTATTCTCTTTGTCGTGTTCGAGCATCTCCGAGTGAGCGAGCTAAAACGCGTGAATCGAGCGCAACGACGCTCGACTGTAAAAGGTATTTAATACACTTGGTCTATTTTATCTATTTGCATTTTCTACATTTTCTCATTCTTGCCCCGTTGAAATCTCAATACGGACTATCTAGTTTTATTTTAACCGCGAAAAGTGCGCAAATAAATACGATTATATTACAGCTAGGTCTACATTAAATGAATGTATCTGATATTTAAGTTTTTCTTTCCTTTATAAGGTCATATTTTTCTATAAATTTGATCAAACAATTGAATATTCCACGCGTAGCTGTTGAATTGTATTTGCATTCATTAAAGAATTGTGTTACGCCATGCTTGGGAGTAAATAATCACCTTGTCTGTTTACATTGAACGTCGCTTTTTTTTTCGGAAATTATCCTTGAAAAATGTTTACGTTACGAAATATTTTAAAGACAGTGATTGATTCGTCATAATGCGACGAGGACTACCGCGATTAAACGTGAGAAAGTTATTTTGGTTTGGTATTTGGCTATAACTAAGTAACTATATACATATAAATGGAAAATTTAAGTTCGCCAACAAAACAGGAAGACGGTTATTAAATCGTCTTGTTTATAGAAACGAGATGAGCACGTGGAAACTGTTTGGAAATTGCTTTATTTCCTTATTTATATAATTGTTGGTATATGTTTTTCTCAGAGATATAATTACAAAACAAGAAGAGAGAGAGAGAGAGAGAGAGAGAGAGACACAGAAAGGAAGTTTTTTCATGCTTTTGAATTATTTAAAAAAAGAATTAGCGCATGCCAAAAGGTCATTCGCAACATTTTTCAGAAAAGAATGCTACAAGATGTTTAGACATCTTTACGTAGATATATGTCTTTTTGTATTTTCGCGTTAGCCGCGCAGAAACCGGTTTCTTTTCGTTCTCTTTAGCATGCGTGATCGATTTCATTTCATTTCGTACAGACGAGAATGTCCACATCCCGAGTACGAGCTAGACGAAAAATCGTCGTTGCGTTCGATCGAACATGTTCTCTCGCGATCGACTGAAGCGGGTGATTCTTGGACTGCATCGCGTTACTATTATCCCTGCGAGAGAGCGCGCCAAGATAAAAATATATATCTCACAGTCAGTATGACGAATCAAGCATGCGCGTACGATATGTGATAAATTTCGCGCTATCTCTCTTTAAATCACATTCAAGGGATTTGTCCGTCTCGTTTAATCTCGGCTCAATCACACAACTTTCTGCATTATGTATAAGCTTCTCGCTCCGACTTCTCGCTTTGACTCAACGAAGAGTATCTGAATCGCGTATCCAAATTCTATCGTTTCCGTCAATTTTTCAAAATATTTACAAAACTTTTATTTTTCCCAGTGTCATTACATAGTTTCTTACAATTTAACAGCATATTATACTAAACTGGAATATTATTTTTAGAGAGTTTCTGTTTGTTTTAAAAGTATTAAAGTATAATGACCAATTTCTTCCATTGAGTTTTCCCACTTGCACTTTTCAAAACTTCGCAAGAGATTATTACATTCATTGCGTACGTTCTATATACCGCAAACTTGATGTCAAGAATCAGCATTTATTCTGGTGTACCGCAATGACAAATTAGTATATTATGAAATATCTTGTTACATCTATTAGCAGTGTTCAAGCAACTCGTCGTATAATAATTTTAAATAAATCTTTTGTTGTATAATAATGTTAAATAGATTTCTATCACTTTAACATAGAAATAATGAAAACATCCTTGTAATCTATTATCTATCTTTTTATTTCTTTCTACGCAAAGATTAGCTTATTTTCATTGTAAGCTAATGGATTCTCGAATCAATCATCTGATTCATCACTAATTTATCTCTCTCGATGTTTATTGTTGTAATACTATTTAATATAAATCAAATCTATGACATTAGAGTTTTCCAGTTATCAATTTTGAATTATGTAATTTATTCAAACGTATACCATTCACCATTCTCTGTTCGAATAGATTTCCTTCGTTTAATGATTGATTTTTTTCTTTAAAAAGAAAAAAAAAAATTAATTAATTAAGAAATTATAATCTTCAATCATTTATAAAACTTACGCGTATCGAATGAGTGATCGTGACCAATAGCAGTACAGCATGACTAACTCGTTTGTCGCGTAATGTTTAGTAATGATATTACAGTATACCTGATATACTTTGTGCTTATAAGTCTTTAAATCGTGAATGCATCGTTCTCGAATCGATAATAGAATGCATTTCAATCATCTGAAGTAAATCTTAAAAGTTAACTTTCTTGATATATACAGGCGCATAATTTTAACATATATATGTGATTTATTATACTGAATGTTAGTAATACTTTTAGTCAACAAGTCAGCAATTCTTGCATTAGGCGTTTCTGCTACAACTTCTGTTATACTCAATAGAATTGAGAATTTAGGATATCAAATAAAAACGTAAATGTTCGATTTACAGACCAAAGAGATGTTATCGAAATGGAGTTGGGTCGCTTTTAATCTTATTGTCTATGTAACCACTGCTCCACACAAGGAAACTCTCTTGGAGGACGAAACTGAAGCTTCCTTCAAAGCTTACTTCGAATTGATCGAATTAGAGTACGAAGATGCATGTTACAACATTGCCAATGTTCAATGGTCATTTATCGCGTCACCTTCCAATAAAACATTGTCAACATGGGTAAATATATTATTTAAATTGTTGCTTAATAATAACTTACTTGCTTAATAAGTTATAAATTAATTTGTCTCGTTATATTTTAGGAGATACAGCAATATAATTATACAGAATTTACAAAAACACGAAAAAACGAAATAGTTAATAAAATAAAAAATACAAAAGAACAGCTAGAACCATCTCTTAAATATAAATATGACGTGATTGAGAAACCTGGCGACACATTACTAAAAGACGAAGATTGGAAGGCGGTAAGAGGCTTTTTTGTCTTTATGTTACAATTTATAATATTTTCGGACTTATTCAAATTATTTTATAACTTACAGTTTATACATTTCGCTGGTATTGTGGAATTGCAGCGATCAATTATCAGTCACATCAATAAATCGCAGAACTATTCACGGGAAGGTATAGTTTTATTGTATTAATAATATATAAAATATATTATTTATAAAAATTAAGAATAATCATTAACAAACATCCTATATTGTATTGATAAAGATTCAATACATCAATTTGAAAACTGTATGATACAATTGTTAATTATTATTGCGTATGATTTTAGGTGTAGAATATTTACTCTCTCATAGTGGAAAACTAGAAGATAAGCAAACTGCTTGGAATACTTGGTATCGCCAATTTATACCATTAGTGACAAATTATTCAAACAATTTGCTACTCATTGCTGAAGCTGCAAAACAAAATGGTTAGTACAAATGAAGACATATAACATAGATAATTTGTATGTAAAATTATAAATGCATATTAAATTTTGAATGAGCATAATATTTAAATATTCAATTATAGATGTCGAAAACGTTAAGGAATATTGGGAAATGCTATCGGGATACTCTGGCGGATATGACAAAATAAACGGTGAATGGAGTCGGATTAATAATCTTTACAAGAAAATTGTAAAATTTATCGGTTCAAACTTGGCTCGAAAGTATAATATTACTATAAATGATACGCTCCCGGCTTATTTACTCGGTAAGACAACACAATAGTGTACGCAATATAAAAACAGCAAGCAATTGATCATTTGAATAATTTTTGTAACTTATTTTTGTATTCTATACTGTAATTTGAATTTGTATGGTTTCATTCGAAAGGTAGCTTACAAGGATTCGATTGGACGGATATATCGTCAGACGCGTTACCCTACTCAGAGTCAATTTATGATGTCAAAAAAAATCTCTGGAGAAAGGTAGAGATTGCTGTTTCATACCATGTTAAGCTTACATATTATAATCACATTTTTGTAATAACATTTGAAATTGTCTGATAAATTATATAGAAATACGTAGGAAAATCTCTGTACAAGACTGCATCCAGTTTGGGTTCATTACTGTTGAAACAAGTTCCGCAAGCGGAATTTTGGGATAAGAGCGAGTTTAATCAGCAGTGCCCATCCAGATTGTTAAATTTTTGTCGAGATGGCACAATGAGGTGTGTATATCAAAAGCTACAGTTTTACACGCTTATAATCTACTTAGTATTATTTATAATTCTCATAATTTAATAGCATTTTGCTAACGTGGGATATTATTTTAGAGTTTCTACCTGTTCCAAAGCCACAATAAGCAATTTCTTGACAGCACATCAAGATGTTGGAGCAGTACTATTTAATCAAATGACTGTAGAAAACACTCCAGTTCTCGATACAGTTAACAGATATTCGGGTAAGGAAATATTGGATTTATTGAACACACACACACACACACACACACACACACACACACACGTCAATTGTCTGCAAAATAGCTCGACATTAAAGATATTTGGCTTTACAGGATTAGAAGAAAGTATATCGACATTATTTGGGATACTATCGGCAAGTCCTGCATGGCTCAATCAGACTCAATTAATGAACAGTACTAAGGATACTGAGGAACAAATGATTGCATCTTTAATGATAACTGCTCTATACGTACTTCCACGATTAGCATATTATTATTCTGCCGATTTATGGAGAATAACCGCAATTCAAGAAAATATCACAGATCCGACAGATTTGATAGCAACTTGGTGGAAGTACAGGTATATGCATCATAAAATTTATTAAAAGCTGATACATAGTTTATATAACTGTAATATCTAAAGTTTTAATTGTATGCCAGGCAAGAGTATGAAGGTGTCTCTTCCATTGAAATGGATAATCCTACCTTTATGGATGACAATCATATTATTAGAAATAAACCATATCTTCCGTAAGTATAACTAACTAGAAACATATAATTATTTTATCTATTTATCACAGCAATAATGAAAAATATTCTATCAATGCAGCAAAATTCTTGGCACAATGTTAGCTTTTCAATTGTATGAATATAACATGGATTCGACCGAAGTCAGATACAATAATATTGAGGGAAAATTGATGAATGGTAATATAATGTAAGTTGGTATAACAAAAAATAACAACGTTTTGAATGCATTTATGCGCATGCCATTTTCTCAACTAATCTTTATTAACTTTTCTATGTCTATACCTAGAAAAATGATTCAACATAGCGGAGCCGGTGAATGGCAGGATGTCCTGAATAAATTCGTTGATATAGACGATATATCTGCGGATGCGCTTGTTCAATTTTTTTCACCGCTAGAAGAATTTATTGAAGAACATGAGGAAATTTTCGAATATAAATCTGGAGCGACAGCGGATAAAGAACTTGAAGAATTGGAGAAATATACTTTGCGAGAGATCAACACACCGACTACGACGCCCCCGACTACCACTACTACTACACGCAGGAAAACAACGAAAGCGACATCATACAAAAAGACAATAAGTGGCGCGAAAAATATGCAATCCGAAGTAGAAAAATCTTTAGAATCTGAATCGTCCATATATGTGGAAGATAAGCCGAAAAATTCTGGGTTCGACTCATCAACTCAAGACTCTGTCAACAAATCATCGTCATCGGTGCCTGATATTTTGAACGACACAGAAAATGGCACACCAAAGATTAGTACTAGTAAAGCGGTATGGGCCATAAGCGCAATTCTCATTGCGATAGTAGTCATCTGTATCATTGCGATTTTCGGAAGACGAAGATGTCGTAAAACGCCAAAAAATAGACGGTACGTTTAGCATTATAAATTTTTGTTACTAATTAACATATTTATTTCTCGCATTTAGGCGTTAGTAGAATTGGAACATACATATAACTTATTATCGCAATAATGCCTCTCATTAAGGGAGTTATTTGCTAATTGCTCTTTGGAGTATTCGACATGCATTCCTTAGCAATGTTCCTTGTATGATACATGTATTTTTTTTAATCTTGTTTTTTTTTTTTGGACATCACTAACGATCAACCAGCTCAATCACGTTTGCCTTGTATCTCTACCTCCAAATCTTATCTAGGAATAAGCTTTTAGCTGCTCCTCTGATGTTACGAATCTTGATACTAGATATATCTCTCGATTTACCAATTATCCTATCATTCTAGGGTAATTACCACAATTTGTATGAATAATATCGAGCACAAAGGATCCTAAACGAATGAAATGCGTTTGCGATTTTTACATACCTATCGTATAATAAACTTCAATATGTATATACAGAATATTATTATACATACATACATACATACATATACATATATGTATGTTTCCTGAATTGTAATGCCAAATCTATACCTCAATGACTAGTTTATTGCTCCTGTCATATTATGATTATAGCATAGTTGAGAGAATTGTATGTGTTGTACAAAGTCGATAGTTACAAAGAGACATTTGAAAAAAGAAAATATAGGTAATTAAGGATATAGAGCTTATACATAATGATAATCATTATGTTTAATACTTCGTACTTAGCGTAAGTAGACTATTTTTCTATAAATATTTAGTATTGTCTTCAAGGATTGTGCTTGTGCGCCGTTACATATCATCGTGTAAAAAATTTATATTTTTTTATATAAAGGTATCTTGTATATCTGTCTCTTGTACACATTTGTTCAAGAGAACAAAAATATTTCATAGTTGAAAAATGATCCTATAATTAATGCGATTGTGCCAAAGAAATCGCATAGTTTCGCTGATAATTTCTTAAAATTGTACATATAATTGAAACTGTAAGATTAGTAGGAGTACAGCGTGAAACATCTATTAAATAAATATTTCATCATCAAATTAAAATAATAGTATTTTTTTTCTCTACTTTATGTTAGATAAATCTTTTCTCAATTTTCTTAATATACAATTATACATTTATCAGAAAACAATAACGGTTTTAACAGCTCAAATGTAACTGATCTGAAGCAAAATAAATTACTCACTCAAGTTAGTTGTCAAAGAGAAAGGAAATCTCGATAATATAATAAAGTTATTTTTTATTAAACTTAATATTTATTCAATGACGTCTCGATTCGAAACATCAGCATTTTTCTCGTTAATTTCTTTCAATCGGTCGGATGCTTGATATCCGACATTCGCAATTAAATCAATTCTATTGCCAAATACAAGTACAAGAAAATCTGGTTTATTAATTCTGAATGAGCGACCGTCTTCACGTTCGTAGGACGCACGAAGGAAGAGAATCTCGGGGGGTGGAAAGGAGGGATCATCCCCTTTTCGCGGAGACATGCGCGTTCGCAGTTGCACGAGGGTTGTCGCGGCCAGGGAGGGGTTCTGGCTTCGATTTCAGTGACTCAGAATATACATTTACGAAAGTGTGCTACTCGTCCCGAGTTTCGATAATCGGCCAATAACGCGTGACGTTGTCGTTCGAATTACGCCATTTAAGGAAAGAGCGAACGAGCCCTTGTCGCAATGCCCTAATGTGCGCGTCGGTTGTGCGAATAGCACGGCCACCAGCTGCTCTCTTCGTTCGTCATGAACGTGAGTATGTTGGTTGCTTCTAATATCGACTGGTTTCGGTCTTGCGAGGAGAGGCGACGCGAGCGTACGTGGGCGTTTCTACGTTCTCCCTTGCGTCTTTTTCGCACGAGATCGCGATTTCTGTGCGAGGCCGTCGTGAAATTCTTGTTTTCGCATGTGGAATCATCTTTCGCTCCCTGATCATCGAGAGAATCATCGAGATGTACGAGCGTGATACGTCATTGACCTCGAAAGTCCTCTGTAAAATCGATGAGAAGCGATACCCTTTAAACCGGCGCGGTGGACGAATCTCTCGTGTGTAGTTTCTCGATCGTATTTTTTAGGAATTGCGGCGCAATTGTTGAATCAGGCACGCGTACATTGAAAACTTTCGCGATATATTATTTGTATGGATATATCTGCAGTAACGATTCGGTTTCTATTAGTATATCTGGCTTCGACTGCTGTGCTTTATTAAAATAGCCCATGTATCGATTTTTTTGTAGACAATTCTAAAACGTTCACTCACATGGATTTTAAATGTAACAAACGATCGCATACAAATTATTGTTTTATTCTGCTATATTTTTCTATTTCTAAGTACTATTGCGCTTAGATCTTTCTAACGATTACAAAATAAACAATTAATTCTGATCCGAACGAGAGCAAGTTTTCTTCTATTTCTTCGGATCATCTCATGGAAGATGCTTTCCCTAAAATTTCACTTTCTTTTGTAAAATAATAGATCAGTTTGATAAAACTCAATTTTTGCTCTCGAAAGTTTCAATTTCAATCGGTTCAAATTTACAGCTATCATTCGCCCAAAGTTCTTTATAAGTGTTACAAGGAGAAAACATTGCGGATGATGACGTGTGTCCATTATATGTTAATTAGTCCCGGAAGCATTCCAAAGTTGAAATATAATATCCAGGCCGGTCACAGCATCTAAATTTTAAGTATCGCGCGTCGCGGTTCCGTATCGTATATAATGTTTGATTTACAAATGCATCGAAATGAATTCGCGTTTTACTTTCAAGCAGCGGCTAATATTAATTATAGCTATCTTCGACACAATGATAAAAAGTCACACTTTTAACAGTCAAATTAATTTACAATAGAAAATGTTTAATTTACATAGATTTTTCCGGAGAATTCCGAGAAGAGTTAAATTAAATTTTATTAATGCTGTTGATAGAGATTTGTCGATTATAAGTACGTATATACATGCGATCTTGTCTCTTTTAAATTTCTGTCGTAAGCTAAAAGCGTAATTTATTGTATTAACCGCATCATGTTATAGATAACAGTAGTTGGCGATATTGCATCGCATAATGTTACAGTTATAGAATTTTTACGTGACCGCACGCAACACGCAAGTAAAGAAGGAGAGGATCAGAGAGTCGCGCACGTACTTCTTAACGTACCTTTTAATCGCTACGTTCCATTATGTCTTTAACTTGCAGCGTCGTCATTAACGTCATTCACGCCGGCTAACGTATATACACCAGATGGGATTATGGCAGCTTGTGACGTAAAATATTTTACACGTCGATTACCGTTGAATCAAGTCATCTGAAAACGATATCACCGTTTCTAAGAATCTACAGCTTGGAGCCTGTCAATCCGGCGCAAACAGGTTTGCGCTTCTTTAATTTTCGTAACGTGCGCGTTATTTATTACACGGCGTTTCTTTATTCTGTTAGTGATTAATGATTTTATTTATAAATGATTAAAGTGTGAGTGTGGGTAAAATATGTATTATACCCTAATAATTTAAAATTAGTTTAAAATTCGGGCAATTTTATAACGTATTTATAAATTTTACTTGTGGTGAATTGACAATTAATGAGATAAATAAATAGTAAATGACATTTTCAGGTGTTACTAACGCCGCGGGAAAATCATCTATAGCGGTGGAAATCGGATTGGTAAGTCAGACACTCTATAATTATTTATCAGCCGACGTCAATAGATTTCTTGCGAGATGATAAAAAGAAAGCTGCCGAAACTTTTAATTAATTGCAAGTGTGTCATATCGGATTATATATTTATAAATAATTTATAGTTACCGTTTGTTCACATGACGTGACGATTCTCAATGAATCGGATTTGAATGAATCGCGCATTTCTACTATACATGATATGAAATAAAGCGGTTTTAATTTTGCCAAAGATATATACATATTGGACAATAATACTATTTCGATTGACCGACAGATGTTATTTAAAATTTTTACGTAATATCCGTAAAAAGAAATTTTTCTATGCATCGCGTTTATTTTCGCGTGACCGCAGCAGTCACCAAAAAAATGCTGTAAACACGATATTTCAACAATTAGCAATGAACATTGACGGATCGAGTAAAGGCAAAATTGTGATCTCTTCCTCGATACCGAGGTAATAACCCGCGCGGCGCGAGGTCGAAGTGAGCTGCTTTCAAGTTTCGAATCGCGTGTAAAACCTTCCTGCAGATTCGGCCGAGTACGTGTTGAACGCGATGTCGCGTGCAGCAGTCGTTCGTTGTACAAGATCGAAAAAAAAAAAATATATATATATATGCGCTACATCAGAGATTAAAACGCGCGTATAGTTTCATTAAAAACATCGCGGCGGTACTGATAACTTTCCATAACAGTTTTACATACTTATATAGCTGCCTAAAGTCCCATTTTCAGCCTCTCCAATGTCTGCGATAAAAACCTTTAAAGTTTCCGCTCCAATTTTCGATTTTGCATACGTATACATACTTGGCCGCGAGCGGGTCGGTGCATTGATTGACATTTTTTTTTCGAGCAGCGGTGCTACCGCGTCGTATGTTTATCGCGATCCGCGCGATCGTCGCGCTTGCACGAAGCCGAGCCCTCGGAGTAGGATCGCGTTCTCTCGCTGCATCTCAACTGTTTCCTTCTTTCCTCTTTATCTCTCCTCTCTTTCTCTCCATCTCGTTCTCGCTCTTGCCTGCTCTGCCCTGTATATATACCGGAGAGGCGGTGCGAGCATTTATTAATAGAGATTAGAGTCCGGCGTCGTGTGGTGCCGTGTGCAAACGCCCTCCCGCGAGAGAGTAGTAGTCTCATTCAGGGCCCGTCGCGGAAAAATAATCTTGGCCGATCGCGCGCGGGTGATTCTCGGCGCCGTGGAAAGAGTGATTGATCGCGATCGGCGATCGTCCGCCGGTGAAAAAAGTGTTTAACGTACGTGTACGTGCCGGTCGTGTTCGCGATCGCGATCGGGCGTGTGCGTTGTTCAGTGTATCGTTTTATCGCGTCTCTTATATTTGGTACGACGATTATTTGATCTTGGAAAAAAAGCCTTACGACTTGACAAACGACGAAATGCTTGCCTAAAAAACGCTCAATTAAAGCCTAAAAAATTCTATAAAATTATAATTAAATATGTTTATTAGATAACTTCTTTTAGAGGATCTTCTTGTGGATCAACGTGTCTTTAATAAGAAATTACTAATTACCGAAGCAAATTATACGGTTGAATGCACCCAAATTCATCGTGAGGTCGTTTATATATGCAACTACTGATCGATTAGTATAACTGGAACTTCCCGTTCGAGCCTGCATGAGTTCTCTCTCTGTAATCTCCCTCAATCTTGCTATCGGTTAGATTCGAAATTGCCAATCTGCCAAACGAGGAATTTACACGAAGAATTTGTTCCAAACTTATATAGCGAGTTTGTTTCATTACATTGAATTATACTTGTAGAAAATTATTCAGCAAATCTCTGATATAATCTGCTTTATAATTATGGATTTTGACTTTAGCAACCGTAAATAAGTCGGTCATTATCATATGAGTCCAATCGGTCGTAGGAGGTAATCGGGAAACATTGACGTTATCGACAATCGTACAAACAAATATATACTATAATATAATTATTCTTAGATTTTGTAATTGACGTGTTGCGTTGTAACATAATATTTCTACGAAACTCTACAAAAGTTTAATCTCATGCTTATTTTTATTTTTATTTTTTTAGGTCGTTTTTTTCTCTATGATAATTTTAACCATGATAATTTTGGGAGGGCGCAGATGAACGGAAATTTGGAAAGCTACGCTATAAAATTTATATATGTACTTATGGCTATATAGTTAACGATTTTAAATAGATTAAGTCGCTAAAGCTCCGAGAATGTCGTTAGACAAATAATATTTTCTCGCACGTCGCGTTTCTCCAACGTCGACGCGATTAATGTTCGTCTTTTTTGGGGATGTGACTATATATATATAATATCCGTTTCGATCACGATCTTTAGCAAAGAAAGAAGTTTAAAGAATTAAATTAAACGACAGCGAATCTAGAAATC